TCTCGGTTTTGATCTGCCTGATATTTTTCTCATGATTAGACTGGGGTTAAGGTTTTGAGACTCCCACCGAGGTTAACTCTCTTTTTGTCATATCAGGGGTACATAATGTCAGCATAATTTATCACTGGTCCTAAATAATGGCAGTTATTTTTGTTGACTTTATATTCTTTTGATTTTTTTTCTTTCCTAGTTACTTTATGTACTTCTCCCCTTATTCTCTAGAAGACTTCTGTCTGGTGTGGATGTTTCCAAAAGTCTGTGCCTATTGATACATGTGCTTTTTCTATTAGGAGGAGATACAAGTCAAATCAAGAGAGGTTTGTATGTCCTTTTATTACCATTAGGGTGATAAAATATAGAAGTAATGGAGACCTCAGGAAGCCAATCTCTAGGTGGGCTGAGGGAAGAGAAGATGGCTCCTTCTCTTGATTGGTTAGATATTCCCCATGGTTGGGCCATATGGTCTTGAAATTTGCAACTCTGAGATTCTGTGGTCATTTGACATGTGCCTATTTCATAATCCACCATGGCTACCAAGTGGCCACTTCTGGCAAGCAAAAGGTTATTCTGAACCAGTAAGTTGGAATGCTTCAGGAATTGGAACTAAAATAGAGAATTTCTCTGCTGTGTAGTGGAACACTAAAGCAGGTAGTGAAAATTAGGGTTTGGAGGAAGATTGACAAAATCATTTCTGTAACTCAGTTCTTCCTCTAGATAATTCAGGGAAGTCATTTTGAAGGCTGGGACTCTCACCTTTTGCTTTCACACATGGAGGTGGAGGTTAAACGCGCAAGTGTATAAGTGAAAAAAGTCATCTTGCTAGGTGGTGGCTTTGACTTTTTATGTAGTTGAATATATCAATCTTGTCTAACAGTGATTCTACAGTATGAGCCAGTTATAAATACTTCCTCAACCAGCTTAACAATTGCTGTATTGAATTCCTTCAGATTTGGTAGTATAATTTTTTTTTTTGATGAAGACTGAAACAATTTTAGATTTGAAATAATTAGCATTTCTTGAAATTTAATACGTGCTGTACTGTGCTTAGGGCTTTCCATGCATTATTATTTAGGAATCACAAAACCCTATAAAGTGGAAATTGTTGCTATCAATTTTGAAGTCAATAGAGTTAAGTATAAAGAAATTATGCAACCATCTTAAGGTCACCGAATTCACTACTGGTAGAGTTGGGATCCAAACCAAGTTTGTCTGACTCCAGACCTGTTCCTAACCACTATATCATACTATCTGTTGAATTATGCCCTCCTATAAATTTTACCTATTGGTCCTGTAAAGCCACTTTGATTAAATCTAATACCTCTTCCACACAGTATCCTTTAAGTATTTGTTTAGAATGATCACATTTCTGCTGATCTTTTCTTATACAGTCTTAATTTTAAAAAATTTCTTTCACTTGTTGCCAGCTAAATAACTAAATTCTTTAGTTATTTCTCTAGTCTTCATCGTAGTGGCTTGTTTGTCCTCTGGTTAGGCTCCTATTTGCCAGTATAATTCTTAGTGGTGTAGAAAGAACTGAATATAGTACATTGGGGTACAGTCTGATCAGAATCTCCCTCTTTTTTGGATGCCACAATAGTAGCCCAAGAGTCCTGGGCAGGACTCCCTAATTTACTTCCATCTGTAGTCATTTGCATTTCTGAATCCTCATGTCCCTTCTCCTGTACATAAATGGTACTTTGGAACCAAGTGGAGACTCTGTTACGTTTCATATTATTAGCATTGGCTCATTGTTCTAGCTTGACTCCCTCTTGCTCTCTCTCTCATCTTAACTCTCATCTAAATTATTTATTCAAATGCCCAGCCTCATGACATCTTGAAATTTATTAAGCTGATAAAGGGCATATGTGTGATTATCTCATTTTATGTGTTATTCCAGTATTATTGAATATATCTGAGGGGAAATAGATTAGGACTGTGTTAGTTGGAGTACCTACAAATCATATCCTGGAAGACTTGGATAGAGTTCATGTTTGGGAGGTGATCCCTGGAAGCATGGATGAGGAAGTGGGGGAGAATGAGCCTAAAGGATGAAAAGGCAATTAAGTGTTCCATAATGTTCCCCACTGTGGCAACTGGGGCTCAGTCCTGCTGGAGTCTTCTGAGAAACCATGAGGAACATGTGTTCCTCAGAATCTCCAATAGAAAGGCTGCAGCCAACTTCCATCATCTGTGGGTTGCAGGTTGCCCCTGAGGGTATAATTACCCATTTCCACAGCATACTCTGGATTGCTACTGCTTGCAGCTGGGCAAGTTTTCCTGGTGTCAGGGAAAGCCCTCCTGAAGAGAAGGAGAGAGATGAAGGAGCTCGAAGTGGGAGGCTGCCAGCATGCTGGAAACTGTCCACTGTGGTAGTCAGTGAACTTGGGCCTGAGGACACATGACTAGTGCATGCTCAGAATTTGTACCCGTTTCTTTATTTGACCTACAATTAGAATGTAAATCGTATGAGGGTAAATACTGTGTTAGCCTGAGCTCTGTTGAATTACCAAGATCAAGAAGAGTGTTTTATTACTTTTTGTTGAATTAATGAATAAAGCTCTAGAAAAAACTTGTAATTCTTAAAGGCAATATAATTTCAGTTCTGTCATCAGATGCTTTTTTGGGTGTCTTAATACTACCTAGCATGTATCATTGCTCTTAGTTGATTACGTGTTTTATGATAAAGCAATGTATAGACCTGTTATTTTATTATAGTCTTAAATTCTCCACCTCTAAATTTAAGTTCATTGGTGTAAAATGTGCATTCTAACATTTGTTATAGTGTGAATAGCAGAAGACAAAACTTCTACATGTATTAAGTGAAACTTTTTTTAGGTTATTGCATTTTGTAGTTGGCTGCTACTTAAAGAAGTTTAGAAAATTACAATGGGTTTGCAAGCCAACGATTACATGATTTATATTAAAACATCTTTAAAATTCTCCAATTGAATGTTATTGCTGTGTTGATCCTGTATATTTCTGGTAAGTCTTTATATTAAGAACCTTTTATTGTCAATCCTCTATTATTAAACTCTTAAGTGGCAGAGGAAATTGGATAATAAGTTTACTTTTCTCAGTGAGCTTTCAGAGAAAGGCCAAAGGATGAAATAAAAACAGATTGCATTGCCTCTTTGCTTTTCTTGTTGAAGCTAGTCAAGATTGTAAAAGTACTTGCACTTTCAAATATTTTAGTCTCTACTGGAGAGAAGTTGTTGTGGTTCTAAGTGGTAAATAAGACTTCATACTGTGAAAGTCTCATGAATTGCTGTTAAAGCAGCACTCACACAGTCATGTCTGTGATATATACAGTGTATGAACTTTGATTTGTGGCTTAAAATTGTGAAGTTTAATTCTCTCTCTTATGAGTAAGAAATGATGGGCAGAAAATTAACACCTGTGATGCATGTGCTTTTGAGGAATGAGAACTATTCTCTGAGTCCCTCACTTACTAATCATGTGTCCAGGGGCCAGTTTTCCCAAGCTGCTTACTTACTGGCTTGTGTATAAAAATCTCCCTTCTAGTGTTGTATATGAAGCTGGTTGTATGTCCAAATTCATGTAAGTACTGAATAGGTACCTTTTGTCTGTGGGTATTTTAACTTAATACCCAAGATGACTCTTTCTAAGAATAGAAAGTCCTAAATATTGAATTTTTAAGTTTGAGCACTTATGATGGCCTTTATCCGTGTTACCTTATTTAATTTTTAATAGCCCCATTTTACAAATGTGGAAACTACACTTTAGAAAAGTAAAATAACATGGTTAAGGTCACGCAGCTTGTAGGGTGAGGCAAGCTTTTTTTAAGTTGTTGTTTTTCAACTCTATGAGATCTTGGATACATTTAATAGTGATTTATTTAATATCTGCTGTGTGCAGTGCAGTGTGTGAACTAGTTGCTGTGGTTCAAATGAGTCAGAAATGAATGCTGCTTTCAAGGAATTTATAATCTAATGAGAGAGATAAGATGTGTATATAAAGAATTATAGCACAAGGGAGACAGTGATAAGAGCTAAATAAAAAGGTATGGTGAAAGTATTATGGGAGGATGGAGATTTTAATTTCCTGTTTTGAGAGGTGAAGAAAGCATCTTAGTGAAGACAGCATTTAATGTGTAACTTGAAAGATTTGTATATGTGGAAAAGGGATATCCAGGCTTCTCAGGCCTAGTATGCACCTTTTCATTAAAGGAATTCCTAGGGTAATAAGTGATATGTAAAGCTAACTTACATAATGGAACATTTACTGTTCTTTTAAATATAATACTGAAATGAAAGCGCCACACCGTTACCCCGCAAAATGTGGTCTTCTGCAGGAAATAGACAAGTAAATCCATGATAACTAAATGTGACCAGGACTACTCTACTATCACTGCTGCTAATCACGAACATTGATTTAGTCCTTACTATATGTCAGGTAATGTTCAAAATGCTTTATATTTTATTAATCTACTTAATCCCTACACAACTCTACGTAGTATGTAGTATATATTATTGATATTATTATGTGCATGTATTAGATAAGGTGCTATAGCCGAAATAAAACAACAACAAAAAACAATGATTTATATAAGAGAAGTTTATTTCTCTCTCACTTAATAGTTCCTAGGTGAGTGATTCAGAACCATATTATGGCTTTACACATGGCTTTCAAAGTTGCTCCAATAGTCACCATTTTTCAGTTAGTAGAAAGGGGGTAAGAGGAATCAAGAGCAAGAAGATTCTTTCATAATGATATCTGGAATGACAAATATCACTCCTGTTCATATCTTATAGTCACTTAGTATATTGGGTTGTATGGTGCTCCCCCCCAATAAATCCATGTCCTAATACCCAACCCTGTGAACGTTACCTAATTAGAAAAGAGAGTCTTCGAAAATGATATTAAATTAAGAATCTTTTTTTTAACTTTTTATGAATTTTTAAAAAAATTCATTATTAAATTAAGAATCTTTTTTTTAACTTTTTATGAATTTTTTAAAAATTTTATTATTATTGTTTTTAAGCCTATAGCACCTGGTATTCCCAGGTGGTTTCCCATCCAAGTACTAATCAGGCCTGACCTTGCTTAGCTTCCAAGATCAGATGGGATCGGGCGCGTTCAGGGTGGCATGGCTATAGACTAAATTAAGAATCTTGAGATGAGATCATTCTGGATTACCCAGGTGGGCCCCAAATTGAATGACTAGTGTCTTTATAAGAAACAGAAGAGAAGACACACACACACAGAGGAGAGGCCATGTGAAGACAGAGACAAAATGGAATTAGGTTGCCATAGCCAAAGAAACTACTTGGAGCCATCAGAAGCTGAAAGAGGCAAGAGAGGATTCATTCTCTCCTACAGTCTTCAGAGGGAACATGAACCTGAAGACACCTTGACTTTGGGCTTTTGGCTTCCAGAACTACAAAGGAATAAATTTCTGTTTTTTTTTAACGCCACCAAATTTGTGGTAATTTGTTATGGCAGCCACAGGAAACCAATATGCATGGCTATATTTTGGTGCAAGAAGGCTGTAGAAAGTGTTATTGGGCTGTCCATGTGCCTACCTAAAACTCAGGAGGTCTGTTACCTTAAGAGGAGAGTAGAGATGTTGTGGGCGAAGGGGTAACATTCTCTGTCACATCTCATTTTATAGATGAGGAAATTGAAGTACAGAGAAGTTAACTAACTTGCCCAAGGTCATACAATTAGAAAGAAGCAAACCTTTGATTGAAATCCAGATCCTTAACCACTGACTAATCTGACGGGGGCTATGGAAGCACTGAGAAGAGGGTTGTCGTTGGCTTGGGAATTCAAGCGAGGAATGGAGGTGAGCTGGAGCTATGGAAAAATAGACAGTTGTCAACGAGGTGGAAAGGAGGGTGTTTAGGAGAGAGAGGCATTTCTGGCTGAGGCACAGAGGTGTGGAGTAACATGACCATTTGTGGTCATGGCTTTTAAGAATGTTTAAAGCTTAGGAGAATGTGGAAGAGTGGCAGAGATGAGCTTGGAGGAGGGTCCAGTGCCTAATGGCCTTGTATGCCATACTCAGGTACTTGATTTTTTATGTTCAAGATAGTGGAGAACTATTAAAGGATTTTAAGCTGGGCTATGATGAGCAGAAATGAAAATTTGAAAGACTGTTCTCTTACATGGAGAGGTTGAAAATGTAGGATGGGTTATCAACTAAGAGACTGTTAAAATAGTTCAGAAAATTTGATAATGGAGTAATATAATAGCTATAGATGGAGAGAAGGGGATGTATTTAACTATATTAGGACTTGATGACTAATTATATGTGGGAGTAGGGTGGGAGGCAGGGGTGAGGGAGAAAATGTGTCCTAGAATTCTCCCAGGTTTCAGATTTTAGTAGCATGATAGGGGTGAGTAATTGTATCAGTTTTCTATTACTGTGTAACAGCTCACCTCCTCCCCCAAACTGAGTGGCTTTCATGGCATCGATCTATTTAACTCATGAATCTGTGGGCTTTCTGGCTGATTCTTTTGTTCTGAGCTGGCTTGGCTGCTCTCTGCTGAACTTGCTCGTGTATCTGTGGTCAGTTGGCAGCTGGATGGTCTAGAATGGTTTCACTCACATATCTGCCAATGGATAGGTTTTTGATAGGGATGGCTGGGCCATGTGTCCCTCATTATCTGCAGGCTAGCCGAGATTCTTCACATAGGGATAGTGTTGTGAGAATAAGGGCAAACCCCAGTGCTCAAACATTATTCAAGCCTCTGCTTGTGTCACATTTACTGATGCTATATGGCTAAGTTCAGATGCAAAGAGTGGGGACATTGACTCTGCCTTTTGATGGGAGGAGCTGCAAAGTCACCTGCAAAGGGACATGCATACAGAGATGGGAAGAATTTATGGCCACTGTGCAATTTACCACAGTAATGAATTGGGTTCTGACATCCTTTCTGCCAGAGAAGCAGATCTAGAAGATTGCTGGATATGTTGATTTGGAGGCTCCGGAGAGAAATCAAGGTGGAAGAACAGATTTGACATTTACTAGCATATGGATGGAATTTAAAGCTGTGAGAGTGAGAAGAAAAGAGTACTCTAAATGGAATCCCTGAGAATACCAATATTGAAGAAAACAACAATATCAAGAGCCACAATGAAGTACCACTACAGAAATGGCTAAAATGAAAAAATACTGATGGTACTGAAAATGCTGACAACAGTACTGTTGTCAAGGATGCAGACCAACTAGGTCTCTCATGCATCGCTGGCGGTGTCCAAAATGCTACAGCCATTTTGGAAAAGAGTTAAACACACGCACACTATATTACCTCCCAAATCTCACTCTTAATTATTTACCCAAAGCGATGAAAACTTAAGTTCACACAAAGATCTGTACGTGAATGTTTATAGCAAAAACTGGAAACAATCAAAATCTCATTCATTTGGTGAATGAATAAACAGTACACACAACGGTATGTCCACATAATGGAATACTACTCAATACTAAAAAGGAATGAACAGCTGATACACCCAATGACATGGTGATTTAGCAAATGATTTATGCTAAGTAAAGGAAGCCAGTCTCGAAAGGCTGCATAATATATGACTACATTTAGAGGCCATTCTGGAAAAAGCTGAGGCTGGGGGGTAAATTTAGACAACTCAAGAATGAATAGCCCTGAGGGGCAAAAGCAGCCCTGAGGTGGCTAGAAGTTCAATTGACCCAGAAATATTCTCTTGACTTCACTGAAGCAAAAAAAAAAATAAAAAAAAAAAAAAAAAAAAAAAAAAAAAAAAAAAAAAAAAAAAAAAGGAAGTTTTCCTACTCAACTATACTTCTGTGACTTTTTTCACCTCTAAGGCTGGCTGTGTGGAAGATGCAGAAAGAGTTTATTCACTCAGGACTCTTTCTTTGCCTCTCTGGGCTTTCTTAGGTAGGTCCTTGGTGAGGTCTTTAGATATAGTTGCAGTTTTAATTTTGGAGAAACGAATGATCTTTACAAAGTACATTTGAATCACTTTTATAGGATATTTGATTTTCTAAATGATATGGAGGGTGAGAATATTTCCATTTCTGCTATATTCATGATTAATTGTGTATTCCTTAGGAAAATAATCCCAATTATATTATTTCAGTAGAATTTCCTATGGGAAATGCATTCTTTTTATAATATAATTTCTAAGAACATATTGTGGTGAGAAGTATGGACTGTTTGTAGATCTGAAACTATGGCTCACTCAAAAACTCAATGAACTAAATGGTAGCTATTTTTAAATGAACTATTTTCCTTATCCTCTCTTATCTTGTCATGTATTAGGCATATTAAAAAGTCAAATCAGGACCTGGAGGTTATTATGCTGAGTGAAATTAGTCCGAGAAAGATAAATACCATATGATTTCACTTATATGTGGAATCTAAGGAACAAAAAGAACAAACTAATCAAAAACAGACTCACAAATATAGAAGACAATCTGGCAACGGACAGAGGGGTTGGGGGATTGCTGGGCTGGGATAATGGGGTGAAGGGTTAAAGAAGTACAAATTAGTAGTTGATAGTTGATCACAGGAATGGAGAGCACGGCACAGGGAAAGCAGTTAGCATTAATGTGATGGCTAGGTAGAGAGCCAGAGGAGAGTAAGAGCAGTCGTGGATTGTTTCATAAACTATACAAATGTCTAACCAATGTACTGTATGCTTGAAACTAATAAAATTAAATTTAAAAAAAGGTCAAATTACTTGTTTTCACATACTCTACAACAAATTATCGCCAGTGGGAGAGAGTGTCATACACATATCTGTTATTTTAAGTGGAAGTATGTATGAATTTAGATTGTACTTCTACAGTTTATGGTGGGTGGGCCTTACTTGTTTTACTCTCTTCCGAGTATTAAATAAATTCATAAAAGTTATATTTTGTTTATGAAAGTCTCTGTGTATCTCCATAAAGCTTACTAATCATTAACTTATTCAAACTACCACTAAGATAAAAGCTCCATTTGTATATCATGTGTTCAAGTCCAAGTCAACTGCCTTTCCTTCCCAGGTGTTGATTTGGTAAGTGAGTAGTTTAAAGATTTTCTCTGATCAGGTGCCCTTATTTACATTTTGTGGTTTTCAAGGTAAATACAGCAGTTTCAGAATAAAGCAAACATTTCTGGCAGGTGGCTTTGTTTGCTTTATAAATGCTTGGAAGTAGTTTGAGAACTTTGTCTTTTAAGGAATAAGATAGGTAAAAACTTAGTAAAGCAGCCCTCAAAAGTAGAGCTCCTACCTCAGTTTGTGACATACCACTGAGTCACCTTTGCTCGTCTGGAGCCTTGTGTGTCCATTTTGTCTGGGGATGCCTAGAAGGGAGATTTATGCTCTGAAAATAAAAGGTTCCCAGGAACTCATTGAGTCTGGGTGCTTCTGTCATGTTTTGCTATATGACTGTGACTGGTGTGTGTGGGTCTGTATGTGTACATATGTGTTTGAATCTTCCGCTGACTGAGTTAGAGATGGTTAAACTTAAATTTCCAGAGGTTCTCAAGGGCTATGAAAACTAAAAGGCAATAAGCTCATCCAGAGAGTGTCCTATCTTGGAAGCAGAGGTATAAATAGGCTAAAAATGGTTTTGAATGCTCATTTTCTAAAGGACGGAAGCTTCAGCTCTGTTTAGAAGTAGGGCTGTGGAATTTGTCCTTCTTATTTAGATGTACTTCATGAAGCACAGTGCAGCTGTAATTGTTGTAGAAAGCTTCACAGTTATGCAACTTGTACTCTGATTGTATGTACATAATTAAATACCTTGATGTGGGTAAATATTGGGAGGAAAGGAGTTAAACAAAGTGAATTGTGTGGTTAGGTTGGGAGTTAGGTTCTGTAATGTTATTATATAAAGGAAAAAATCCAATACCTGAAATGTCACGTTAAAAAAACAGTATGACTGTCCAGAGGTCAAATGTAAAAACAAAGCAAAAAGCAAATTATTGAGTGTAATTAATGTTTTGACTTTGTAATAGTGGAAGTCCTTTAATTCCTGTTTTATTCTCAGCCTTATTTTCTTTCTATATATTTGGGCAGCATTGTTAATAAAGTTAAAGGCAGGTATCTTCACTAATCGGCATATATATAT